AATTTATCCCTCCCCCTGACCTGTCCCCTTTGGTAACCATAAGTTTGTCTTCAAAGTCTGTGAGTCTGTTTCTCTTTTGTAATTAAGTTCATTTGTATCATCCTTTCAGATTCCACATATAAGTGATATCATATATTTACCCTTCTCTGTCTGACTTACTTCACTTAGTATGATAATCTTTAGGTACATCCATGTTGCTGCAAATAGCATTATTTCATTCTTTTTTATGTCTGAGTAATATCTCATTGTATATATATGTACCACATCTTCTGTACCACATCTTCTTTACCCATTCATCTGTCAATGGGCATTTAGGTTGCTTCCGTGTCCTGGCTATCGTAAATAGTGCTGCAATGAACATTGGGGTGCATGACTCTTTCTGAGTTATGGTTTTCTCAGGGTATATGCCCAGGAGTGGGATTGCTGGGTCATATGGCAGTTTTGTTTTTAGTTGTTTTGTTTGTTTGTTTGTTTGTTTTGCGGTAAGCGGGCCGCTCACTGTTGTGGCCTCTCCCGTTGCGGAGCACAGGCTCCAGACGTGCAGGTTCAGCGGCCATGGCTCATGGGCCCAGCCGCTCTGCATGTGGGATCTTCCTGGACCGGGGCACGAACCCATGTCCCCTGCATTGGCAGGCAGACTCTCAACCACTGCACCACCAGGGAAGCCCTGTTTTTAGTTTTTTAAGGAACCTCTATACTGTTCAGTTTTTTAGAATAGTTTCAGAAAGACAGGTATTAACTCTTCTCTAAATGTTTGATAGAATTCACCTGTGAAGCCATCTGATTCTGGACTCTTCTTTGTTGGAAGATTTTTAATCACAGTTTCAATTTCAGTACTTGTGATTGGTCTGTTTATATTTTCTATTTCTTTCTGGTTCAGTCTTAGAATATTATACCCAAGGATTTTTCCATTTCTTCTAGGTTGCCCACTTTATTGGTATAGAGTTGCTTGTAGTAGTCTCTTATGATCCTTTGTATTTCTGTGGTGTCTGTTGTAACTTCTTTTTCATTTCGAATTTTATTGATTTGAGGTCTCCTTTTTTTTCCTTATGAGTCTGGCTGAAGGTTTATCAATTTTATTTATCTTTTCAAAGAACCAGCTTTTAGTTTCATTGATCTTTTCTGTTGTTTTCTTTGTCTCTATTGTTTTATTTCTCCTCTGATCTTTATTTCTTTCCTTGTACTAACTTTGGGTTTTGTCTGTTGTTCTTTCTCTGGTTGCTTTAGGTGTAAGATTAGGTTTATTTGAGATTTTTCTTGTTTCCTGAGGTAAGACTGTATCACTGTAAATTTCTCTGCTTTTGCTGCATCCCACAGGTTTTGGAACATCGTGCTTTCGTTTTCATTTGTCTTTAGGTATTTATTGATTTCCTCAGTGATCCATTGGTTGTTTAGTAGCATATTGTTTAGCCTCCACGTGTTTGTGTTTTTTAGTTTTTTTCCTTGTAGTTGATTTCTAATCTCATAGCCTTGTGGTCAAAAAAGATCCTTGATATGACTTCCATTTTCTTAAATATACCAAGGTTTGCTTTGTGGCCCAGCATGTAATCTATCCTGGAGAATGTTCCATGTGCACTTGAGAAGAATGTCTATTCTGCTGCTTTTGAATGGAATGCACTATAAATATCAATTAAGTCTATCTGGTCTAACATGTCATTTAAGGCCTGTGTTTCCCTATTGATCTGTCTGGATCTGTCCATTGATGTAAGTGGGGTGTTAAAGACCCACCCCACCCCCATTATTGTGTTACTGTCAGTTTCTCTTTTTATGGCTGTTAGTGTTTGCCTTATATATTGAGATGCTCCTATGTTGGGTGCATATATATTTCAATTGTTATACCTTCTTCTCAGATTGATCCCTTGATCATCATGTACTGCCCTTGTCTCTTGTAACAGTCTTTATTTTAAAGTCTGTTTCTTCTGATATGAGTATTGCTACTCCAGCTTTCTTTTGATTTCCATTTGCATGGAATACCTTTTTCCATTTGCTCACTTTCAGTCTGTATATGTCCCTAGATCTGAAGTGGGTCTCTTGTAGACAGCATATATACGGGTCTTGTTTTTGTATCTGTTCAGCCAGTCTGTGTCTTTTGGTTTGAACCTTAAATTCCTTTATGTTTAAGGTAATTATATGTATTTATTGCCACTTTGTTAATTGTTTTGGATTTGGTTTTCTAGGTCTTTTTTCTTCACTTCCTCTTCTCTTCTTGTGATTTGATGACTAACTTTAGTGTTGTGTTGGGATTGCTTTTTCTTTTGTGTGTGTGTGTGTATCTATTGTAGATTTGCAGTTTGCAGTTACCGTGAGGTTTTGATATAGGTGTGAGGTTTTGATATAGGGGTGTGTGTGTGTGTGTATGTGTGTATGTATATATATATATATATATATATATATATATCACACACAAGATTGTTTCAAGTTGCTGGTCTCTTAATTTCAAATGCATTTCCAATATATCCTGCATTTGTATTCTCGTGATTGCTGGTTTTGATATCATATTTGTATGTGGATGACTTCTTACCTTTACGTTTGCCTTTATCAGTGAGCTTTCCCATTTGTAATTTTCTTGTTTCTAGTTGTGGCCTTTTCTTTTCTGCCTAGAGAAGTTCCTTTAGCATGTGTCATAAAGCTGGTTTGGTGGTGCTGAATTCTCTTAGCTTTTGCTTGTCTGTAAAGCTTTTGACTTCTCCCTCGAATCTGAACCAGAGCCTTGCTGGGTAGAGTATTCTTGGTTGTAGGTTTTTCCCTTTCATCACTTTAAATATATCATGCCACTCCCTTCTGGCCTGCAGAGTTTCTGCTGAAAAGTCAGCTGATAACCTTATGGGGATTCCCTTGTATGTTACATGTTGCTTTTCCCTTGTTGCTTTTAGCATTTTCTCCTTGCCTTGAATTTTTGTCAGTTTGATTAATGTGTGTCTTGTTGTGTTCCTCCTTGGGTTTATCCTGTACGGGACTCTCTGTGTTTCCTGGACTTGGGTGACTGTTTCCTTTCCCATGTTAGGTAAGTTTTTGGCTATTATCTCTTCAAATATTTTCTCAGGCCCTTTCTCTCTCTTCTCCTTCTGGGACCCGTATAATGTGAATGTTGCTGTGTTTAATGTTGTTCCAGAGGTCTCTGAGAGTGTCCTTATTCCTATTCATTCTTTTTTCTTTAATATGTTCCATGACAGTGATCTCCAGCAATATCTTCCAGCTCACTTGTTCTTCTGCCTCATTTATTCTGCTAATTGATTCCTTCTAGAGTATTTTTCATTTCAGTTATTGTATTGTTCACCTCTTTGATTTTTACATCTTCTGTAGCTCTTTTTGAAACATTTCTTGTGCCTTCATTCTTTTTGTGAGATCTTGGATCGTCTTTACTATCATTACTCTTTTTTTTCAGGAAGATTGTCTATCTCCACTTCACTTAGTCATTCTTCTGGGGTTTTATCTTGTTCCTTTGTCTGGAACATATTGCCCTGCCATTTCGTTTTATCTAACTCCTGTGTTTGTAGTCTCCGTTTCTGAGGCTGCAGGTTTGTAGTTCCTCTACCTTCTGGTGTCTGCACCCTGGTGGGTGAGGTTGGTCCAGGGGGCTGTGCAGGTTTCCTGGTGGGAGGGACTGGTGCCTGCCCACTGATGGGTGGAGCTGGGTCTTTTCCCACTGGTGGGCAAGGCCATGTCAAGGTGTGTGTTTAGAGATGGCTGTGGGCTCAGGATGACTTTAGGCAGCCTGTCTGCTGATGGGTGGTGGTGTGTTCCCGCCTTGTTGGTTGTTTGGCCTGTGGCATCCTAGCACTGGAGCCTGCAGGTTGTTGGGTGGGGCCAGGTCTCAGTGCCAAAATGGTGACCTCCAGTAGAGCTCACGCAGATGAATATTCCCTGGGGCCTCCACCACCGTCATCCTTGTCCCCACAGTGAGCCACAGTCAACCCCCGCCTCCCCAGGAGTCCCTCCAAGACCCACAGGTAGGTCTGGCCCAGGCTCCTGTGGAGTCACTGCTTTGCCCTGTATCTCAGTGCACATGAAACCTTGTGTGGGCCCTCCAGGAGTGGAGTCTCTGTTTCCCCCAGTCCTGTGGAGCTCCTGCACTCTAGCCCTGCTGGCCTTCAAAGCCAAATGTTCTGGGGGGCTCCTCTTCCTCCTGATGCCAGTCCCCCTGGCTGGGGGAGGGCCTGAGATGGGGCTCAGAACTCTGCCTCCTGTGGGAAAACCTCTGTGATATAATTATTTTCCAGTTTGTGGGTCACCCACCTGGTGGTATGGGATTTGATTATACTGTGAATGCACCCTTCCTACTGTCTTGTGTGGCTTCTTCTTTGTCTTTGGCTGTAGAGTATCTTTTTGGTAGGTTCTCATCTTTTTTTCGATTGTTGTTCAGCAGTTAGCTGTGATTTTGGTGTTTTCATGAGGGGAGGTAAGCTCAAGTCCTTCCACTCTGCCATCTTGTCTCCTCCCCCTAGAAATCAAATAATACTCACCTTAATGGATGTGACTTTTTAAAAATCAAGAATTAGCATGTAACCACTTTTTTAATGGTAGAACACCTGATCTTTCAGACAGATACATACAATTTTATTGAAAAAAAAAATCAAGGAAAATCGTGAATTTCATCCATCCTTTTTTAGCCTTTTTTTCCTTCTTATAATTGTAATTTCCATAATTTGCTGTAGTTGAAGATGAACAATTAAATGAAAGCTGGGCTTTTAAAAGAGGAATGTTGAAAACTTTAATATATATCATTTTAAAGTTTGGAAAGTATAACTCTTCCTATCTTTTCTATGGTGTCAAAGACAACGGAAACCACTGTTCATACTCTACCAGACAAGGGTGAAGAGATCTGCGGATATTTCTTGAACCCTTCTTTAATGTCATCAGAATGTTCACCTACAACCTTGAAAAAGAAAACAGAAGAAATGAGTGACCTCCCTTCTGAGAATCAGCGAAGCATACCACTCGCTGTGACCGACGCGCTAGAGCATATCATGGAACAGCTCAATGTTTTGACACAGGTGGGTTGGCGCACTTTTCACTTGGTCGTAAGAAGTTTTTCTTTCTTAGCAAGGCAAGCTCAAAGGTGGTAGTTAATATAGCAGCGCCTGCTGTGCTGAGCCACTCTAAACCTTATGGAGGCAAAGTCAGAGCCCATGCACACATATACACGTATGCATGTTTGCACACACACACTGTACTCTATCTAGCACCTGAGGCCCACAAGCGAATAGAGGAGACCATGTACTTCACGCTACAAATGTATTATTTGATTCTGGACAGTAATGTTTTGCCGTAAGAATTTCTGATGCCATGTATTCAGATTTGGACATTATCAAAGAAATATTTAGGGCAATAAGAAAAATGTATTGGGATTAATCATTTCGGTTAGAATGAAATTTTGGCATTGCTTTAGTTTTTCACTCTGAAGAAGTTCTCTCTGTCCAATGTTTAACTTCCCTCATTCCAAAGCTCCTTACGTTGATGCTCTTGTTCTTCTGGAGGTGAGGTTTCCACATTCCCCTTTTAGAATATTACCCAGTCCTTTGATGCCAATATACTTTTGCAAGAAGGGATCTTAATATATCAAAGGTCTTCCAACTCTTGGTCAGGAAATACAGATGTCATTTAATGGAAGCGGTGTATTAAGATGGATACATCAGAGGTTGCCCTTCCAGCTCTGCTCAGTGTTTCCTTTGAAGAATTCTTATTGTTCCTCTTTGATAAACAGAATGAGGATCCAGAGCAGACACTGTCCTAAATTATACAGAAAGAGGCTATAATGTGAACTAGAGAAGACGTCAGTTACTTTTGCAGAATAAATATTTCAAGTTGAAATTGCTCACGCATAGAAATCATCTAATTCTTATTCTCAACCCTGGCTGTACATTCTAATCGCCAGGGCAGTTAAAATCATTCAGACGTCCAGTTCTCATCTCCAGAGAATTCAAGGCCCTGGCATCGGACTTTTAAGGTTCCATTTTGGGTTAAGAGCCAGTAATTAAAAATTTTACCCTTTAGATAACATCTCAGGGCCTTGGAGTTAAAGGATGTGGATGTGGGTCATGACAAATTGTGAGAACGACCTTGGAGTCGTAAGATCTGTTCAATGAAAATAATAGGAAAATCATCAATTTTTGCTTTGCAGTATTGTGCTAGAGGTGACTGTGTTTATCGGACTTTCCTTTAAAAGGCAGTTTTTCTCTCAGCTTCATGCCAGCTTTAGTTTTGGTTGGCCTGTTTCCCAGGGCCCTGGCTTCCTCACCTGCACTGTCACATTGGGTGGCAAGTCCTCTTTAGGGTCTTTCCATCTTCTACTCTGTCAGCTTCGTGACTCATTTTGCCTTCTTTTTTCCTGATTTAAGGTTAAAATGGATCCCTTTAAACTTTATTGAAAGTCTGTAATTTTTTACTTTTAATTTTTAAGGACTGACTTTCCTTCAAATATGAAAAGTTAAAAGCAGGCACAGCACACTTGCAAAATGGGAACAGTGTGAATCTGTGGGCAAATAACAAGTAAAATAAACATATTCAGATTCACTTTAATTACAGATGACTGAACATCTCCTAACCCAGTGGCAGTGCTTATAATTCAGTACAGATTGTAGTATCACTTTCTCATTATAACTTTTAAGATGGTTGGTAGGTGAGTGGAGTTAACCAGGGTTAAAGGTGTTGATGATACACATATCAAAAGCTTTTGCATCTTACATTGTGATAAGTATCAGGCAAAATGCTTGGCACATAGTAGGCACTCAAGAAATAGTAGAAAGTATTATCAGCATTGCCGTTAATTTCAATGAATCATGAGCTATAGTATGGAATATGAGAGCAAAATAGTTTTTTTTTTTTAAACTGATTGATTGCCTTCAGAGGCTGGTAGGGAATCAATTGTAACCAAGCATTTATTATGCTGCTTTTCCTATATGAACTGTACTAGCAGGTAACCAAATAATATATGAGAGAAGTGTCTTGTATAAATTATCCCAACTAATACATTTTTTAAATGATGGAATTAAAATATCACTGGCAATCTCTAAGAATCGATAGATCTAGACATTAAGTAGCTACTGACAACACAGAAAAAGAAGCAAATGTTATTATTGTGCCCTCAAAAGAAAGAATAGTCTTACCGAGGGATCTAACCTGAGTCTTACCAAGCCTTTGAATCCAGCTTCCAATTTACATAAAATACAGAGGGTAGAAGAACAGATTAAACTGTACCCAGAGTACGCAGTCCCTAAAATCCAGACTGGTAGAGGCACTGCAGGTCAAATGGCCTGAACCTGTCCAAAGACAAATTATAAAGAAAATAAATGGAGAGAGTAGGGATCTGTAGATTAAAAGACTTTAAATGACATAAAATCTTGAAAATGGGTAAGATATAGTTATAGTGTCTAGGGATGTACACTTGAAAGATAAAACCATAAAGACCTGCAGAAAAGTGATTATTATAATGGTCAGAATAGGGGCTGTTATGGGGGAAGGTGCACGCGAGGCGCTCTGGGGTGGCTGGCAGAGTTCTAGTTCTTGACCTGGGTGTTGGTCATAAGGGTGCTTTTCTCCTGAGAGTTCATTAAGTGCCACACGTTTTTTGTGCAACTTCCTGAATCTATTTTATCGTATAGTTTTTTTAAAAAGATAGAAGACTGAAGATGAAGTGGTTTATCACAATTAGATTTACAAGTAGTCGCACGCGTGTGTGTAGTTATATACTCACGAGCTGAAGGAGTTAGACTATCTAAGATTCACGAAGTCCTGTGTGGCAGGCACCAGCTTAAGCATTTTACATGCGGTATTTCATTTAGTCAGTCTTCCTAACAACCCTATGAGTTGCTGTCATCTTCTGGGTGCAGAAAGGGGTAGCAGTCACTATATTTTCAAAGTAAGCTAGGTATCCAGCCGTCTAGGGTAATATAGGTATGGTCCGTCATGGATTGATTGTGACAGAAGGACCAGTGATGCCATTTAAGTAGCGGTGGGGTTATGTGGCATTCCATCCCCACCTCCCACATTCCATGTCACCTGTGACACTACCTAACATGCCTCCTGTGGCCTCTTCTCTGGCAGCAATGCTTTAGAAGATCAGACTTCAGAATTGCCTACAGAGGCTTGATCATTTACTCCATCTTCCTCAAATGGTTCCTTTTTTTTTCTTTTCCTCAAACTGCTTGACAGTGCTTTGCCTTGTGTTAGGGCACAGAAGCGGGGCAAGTTCTGGGGTTCATTTCTGAGCCAACCTCCTGGCAAAAGGGTGGCATTCCAGTTCTGAAAAAGATCAATGCTGAGATTATCATCATCATCCTCACCACCAGGTCACCAGGCATTGATTATTTTGTCCCCCTTTTTTGCAGACTGTTTCAATCCTGGAGCAGCGACTGACTTTGACAGAGGATAAGCTGAAAGACTGCCTTGAAAATCAGCAAAGGCTTTTCAATGCTATCCAACAGAAAAGTTGAATAGAAAGATATGAGCAGAGGCACGAGAAATGAACACATGTACACGTACTCAGGAAGGTAGTACAAGATGCTTTATGCAACACAACCATGTGCTAATTATCATGGCATTTCTTAAAAGGGTGAACAAAAGGCAGAAAAGGCATAATTAAGGACTAATTTAAACACACAAATCAATGCCGAGGACTAATTCAAATTATTACCATTTATGATTGCAGTAATAAAGTGATACACGTTCAAGTGGCTCTGTATTTTCCCCCATATTATTTTAAATGTCAGTTTTCATTAATAGTCCAAATCCTGCCAGTAAAGTAGTCAAATCTCTGTATTTCACTGTTATTCCAAATTGACCACGTTCAGGCAATTCCTTAAACACCTGGTGTACTTCTTTAGTGTAAACAGTACCCTTGGGGTGAAATAATTCACTTACCTCTAAAACAGCATTTTGTATGCAGAACCTCTAAAACAGCATTTTGTATGCAGAGAATGAATTAATGATCTGATTTGTATTTCTTTCTGTTAAAAAAAAAAATTCTTTACCTATGCCTTGAAAAGATGATCTCATACAACTCCCAAACCGCAGAATTTCCACAGCAAGAATACACTTATTTTAATTAGCAACAGCACATACAGGACATACGGCAGGGGGTTTCGATTTAACTTATGGTATACATTGTTTATTCTTTGACCAACCTAAAAGAAGAGTTAGAAATATGTAAAGTGTACAAATCTGCTTCCGTAGATGAATGCACTGAATGATTTTGGTTGTATCCAAACCTGTGATCTCAGTTTACAAAGATTAAGTTAGTGCAGAATCCTCAAAACCCAGAACGATGCAACAGCAATATTTAAAAATATTCACACATGTATGTTCACATTCTTCAGAAATGTTTAGGGTGATTTTTTAGCTGAATAAAGAACATTTGCATCGTCTTCCTATTTTCTTTTTAATGAATTGTGATTTGAAACAAAATGAAAATGAGCCAGGCATTCTAAGAGATCTTGGTTTTAAATTAAGAATTTTATCTTAAACAAAATAAGAGATTAAATTGAAAAAAACTGAATTTAGTTTGCATTTCTGTTAACCTATATCTAGAACAGAAGGTAGGAGAAGGCAGTCCACATTTATGATGCCTGTAGGCATATCATGGGGAAAATACTGTCTATGCTTTGGAAAAGAAAAAAGTCCTATTTATCTAGGAGTCTATATTTAGAAATTTCTCAAAGCAATTTTGATTGTATTTATGAGGTGATTTTGTTTTATCATCTCGTGTGTTTTAAGTGACTTTTTAGATAATACTAAGTGTGAACTTCTAGACAGATTCAAGAGTTTATAAGACTAAGTGGCACTGTATTTTTATAACCTCATTGAGAAGACTAAGAAATGAAATGTCATACCAATTTTTATCTACTTTTTTAATGCTTCAAACAATAAAGACATTTTACCTTTAAAAAAGTTGTTTCTTTTTAAATGATTAAAATCTAGAAATGCTAAACTTCTTATCTAGCTCACTCAACTTTAACCTTCATAACAATCTCCTGGAGAAGTTGTCAAAACAGTTCCGGCCCTTTGCCCCGGGTTTATGATTCACTAGGTCTGGTCTGGTGAGGCCCAATAATCTGCATCTCTAACAAGCTCACAGGAGATTTAATGCTCTTGGCCTCAGGCCCACACTTTAGAAACCACTGTCCAGCTATAGCCACTTCCTGCAACATGGTATTGCCACACCTTTTACAGTCATAGAACTTTATAAGTGATATAAAAACAGTGATGATGTAAGTTTAAAAGCCTTGACACTTTTTCAGGAGGGTTATTTTATAAGCCCCCCAACACCTCTTTTATGCTTTTGAGGCTTCTTTTCGTCAGATGCCAGCCTCTCAATCTGTCCTAGCTGCATGTTCACTGCATGATCAACATCTCCACTTGGACAACATGGCAGGCAGCCTCTGAATATGTCCACAGCCAAACTCTGCTGCGCCTCACCCCCACCCACAGCCAGCTCCTCCCCTCGTCTTCCCATCTCCATAAATGGCAACTCTCCTTCAAGGCGCTCAGGCTGAAGACCTCAGAGTTATCCTTAAATCCTTGGTCTCACTCTCCACTCCCATTCCTTCAGCAAATCTCATGAGAACATATGAAACACCTGATCATTTCTCACACCTCCATCAGCCACCAAAACCCAGGCCACCATCATCTCTTACCTGGATGTCTGCAGTGCCTCTTAACTGTCTCCCACTGTCACCCTTGCACAGCAGGCCACAGTGGTTCTTGAAAAGCCTGAGTTCATACCATACGACCCAGCAATCCCACTACTGGGCATATACCCTGAGAAAACCGTAATTCAAAAAGAGTCACATACCACAATTTTCACTGCAGCTCTATTTACAATAGCCAGGACATGGAAGCAACCTAAGTGTCCATCGACAGATGAATGGATACAGAAGATGTGGCACATACATACAATGGAATATTACTCAGCCATAAAAAGAAACGAAATTGAGTTATTTGTAGTGAGGTGGGTGGACCTAAAGTCTGTCATACAGAGTGAAGTAAGTCAGAAAGAGAAAAACAAATACCATATGCTAACACATATATACGGAATCTAAAAAAAATAAAAATAAAAATGGTTCTGAAGAACCCAGAGGCAGGACAGTAATAAAGACACAGATGTAGAGAATGGACTTGAGGACATGGGGAGGGGGAAGGGTAAGCTGTGACAAAGTGAGAGAGTGGCATGGACATATATACACTACCAAACATAAAATAGATAGCTAGTGGGAAGCAGCCGCATAGCACAGGGAGATCAGCTCGGTGCTTTGTGACCACCTAGAGGGGTGGGATAGGGAGGGTGGGAGGGAGGGAGACGCAAGAGGGAGGAGATACGGGGATATATGTATATGTATAGCTGACTCACCTTGTTATAAAGCAGAAACTAACACACCATTGTAAAGCAACTATACTCTAATAAAGGTGTTAAAAAAAAAGAAAAGCCCGAGTTCAAACATGTGGCTCTTCAGCTCCAAACCCTTCAGGACTTACCATCTTAGAGTAAAAGCCCAAGACTTGACAGTAGTGATGTGCTCCTAACCTCTTCACCTTAGACCTCCCCTCCCCCTTGGGGGTCACCCTTACTCACTGCCCTCTGGCAGCAGTGGCCTCTCTGCTTCCCTTTGTAGAAGCAAAATGGTTCCCACCTAAGGGCATCTGTACTTGAGGGCATTTGCACTTGCCATTTCCTCTGCCTGGAGCTCTGTCCCCAGGTATCCCTCGTAACATTCCAGCCCTGCTCACATTCTGCCTCTTCAGAGGTGCTCTTCCTAACCAGCCTATATGGAATAGTAACCCTCCATTCACTCCCTCTGGTATATAGCTCTGGTACAACACAGGTTGCAACACAGTTACAGTCCTGCCTCTTCCACTGTGAACCGACCTTCTCAAAAACCAAGCACTGTCACCTTTATATTCCCCATCTATCACAGTACCTCGTTCATAGGCTGAGCTCAACAGATAGGTGTCCAAAAAAAATGCTCAACCTAAAAGTTGAGCATTATGTTTTATCCAGTGGGCTTACTGAGCACTTAAGCCCAAGATACAGCTTCTCAGATAGCTCTGAGGGATTATTTACAAAGCGGTTAAGACAGGAGCCAGGATATAAAGGAGTTTTGCAAACAAAACAATACAAACAAAACAAAACAAACAAGAACAGGTAGTCAGAACATCAAAAGATTACTGCTAGAGAAAAACCAGACATCTCAAGTTAATGAATTTTAGCACTTTTCCATGTATGGGAAGATGCAAGAGTCGGGGCTTATTGAAATTATTCCTTTGATATGCACCTTAACTATCTAGGGCCAGTATCCTGTTTTTCTCCATCCTGAATTCCCCTCAGGGTGCACAGTTGGTGGCTGCAGTGGCTGCAGCATCCTTTGTTTACTGAAATGCTGGTAACATTCTATGTCCACAACGTTTCCTCTTGGTCATAAATTCAACCACCGTTTGGGAGGCATTTAATGACCAATTTTGTCCCACAGTGCTAGGAAGGCTCATCCCTAGATCAGGCGAAGATTGTGTGATAGGCTATTCAATCCGCTCATTTTTTGGATTAGGGCTATTGATCTTCTAAAATTCTCTGGATCAGCTGTCTTACTAGACTATTATGATCCAGGTAATGTTTTCCTTTGTTGCTTCTTCCCGTATCTAGAGTTGCATGCACTATTACAATTATTCTATGTAGAGTTATATATGATCAACTACCTCAAGACTTTTAGCCATCATTAATTTTGTCAGAGGCCTGGTTATACATTGGGTAGTGCAAGAGATAACAATCCTATAAAATAGACAGAATAAGTAATATAGCTAGTAACATTAATAAGGTCATAGTACAGCAGAGAGAGACACAAGGTATAAATAATTTGAAAACAACAAGAGAGCAAATTAAAACAATGATTAGCATAACTAGTTATAATCTGGTTGCAATAAGCCATCAAGTCCACAGGGGAGCCACCTGGAGAAGCCAAATTCTGGAAGAATCAGGTAGAGAGAAAAAGCTAAATGTTTCATAATCATTTACAAAAGTATACTTTATCAACTTGTTGCAGGTCACAGCATAAGAGGAAAGATTTTCTGGAAAAGATTAAAAGGCAGTATATTTCAGCAGAGAGTCATAAAACTGTCTTATGTATCAGTTCATTCAGTCCCATGTAACTAATTCCTGTTGATCTGGATGAAGTCATCAGGTTTTTTCATTAGAGTTTTAAACTTTCCTACCCAGTTCAGTTGTATGATATAAAAGTTATCAGAAACCTTAATTTATCAAAAAGTCCTTTTTATGAATCTTCCTGAAGATCCTCATATTTTATACAATCAGAGTAAAACAATGATTGTTTTTAAA